ATAATAAAAACTGTAATTATTACTTCATTAATAGTTTAGCATTAATTAGATATGGTCGATTAATAATAATAATAATAATAATAATAATAATAATAATAATAATAATAAAGTTTGTAACGAGTTTGGAGGGAAATCGAAATGAAGTTTTATTAAATGTTTTATTAAATGCTATTAGGCAACAATTATATATATATATATTTTATTTAATAATAGTGCATTATTGATACAGTCAATCACAATATGTTGTATATATACTAATTGTTCTTTTTTAATACAGAGGCAAGCAGCAAACGCACTAAGTGCGACGACTGGCTTGTTAAAGCCCTAATACCCGGTGGCCCCGTCGACGGGAGTGTTATCCCTAGTTTTCTAGGGCACGTAGCCTCCCGGATTTGGACTGGACAGCTCAGAGGCACGTTGAAGTGCCAAAACAGGATGTCGGCTAACGGAGTTTTGAGGGAGTGGCTCGCATGGATGGATGACAGTGCTCGAGATCTGATCTGTCCGACCGGGCTGTTACATCTGGCGTCCAGCATGCACGAGCACGTCGACACTCCACTTATTTAAGCATTTGTGGAGCGATGGCAGCCGGATACTAACTCGTTTCACCTCCCTTTTGGTGAAATGAGTATCCTGCTCCACGACGTGAGGGCCATACTGGGGGTTCTTGTCGTCGGATCGGTAGTCACAGGGGACCTCGACAGCATGACACAACATGCGTACTGCATGGAGCTGCTGGGGGTGAGCCAGGACAGGCTGATGGCGAGCTTTTGGAGTCACGGCTCGGTGTCGAATACCGCCGTTTTTACTGCGTTGCAGAAGAATGGCGCAAGACGGTCGGCTGAGCATGTGGCGACTGGCTGGTTGTGTGTGCTGCTCGCTACCACCTTGTTTACGGACAAGAGTGGTAACATGGTCAGTCCCGAGATCCTGTACGAGATGATGCAGAACCTACAGACAGTTGGGGATTACTCGTGGGGATCGGCCGCACTGGCATACCTATACAGACATTTAGGTATGGCCAGCAGGGGGGACTCGGGGGAAGTAGCGGGCTGCTTGGCTCTCTTGCAGTCTTGGATATATGAGTATTTCCCCACATTCCGACCCCCCGGTGCTCGTATGGCCTCCGAGCCTGGCAGCCTAGCTCGATCAGCCTTGTGGAGGACCGTCGTCCCAGATAACTCAGATAAGCGCCTCAAGGATTTTCGTGTGCGGCTTGACAGACTCACAGCCGCCGAGGTAAGTTAAGTTATTTTATTTACATTTACTTGAAAGTTATTTTGAATACTCAAATTGTTCGAATAAATGTTTTATGCAAATGTGAACAGGTAAACTGGTTGCCATACGGCCCCGAGCCGCATGTGTTGGAGCCTAGGACCCTTTATTCCGGATGCCTTAGGTACCGGGATATTGTGGAGCCGTACATGCCTATGCGTTTCTTGCGCCAGTTGGGCTACCGCCAGATCATCCCTCTCAACATGTATCGGCCGAACACTGCATATCGTGGTTGGAATTCTAGGATGTACAGGTTCGAGCATGGAGCTACTACTGCAGTACATCACTAGGGCCATTTCCCGCTACTGCATTCTATACGCTTGTCTGATTTTACTCCGACCACGGCAGATGATCGGGATGCGGCCCATGAGGACTACCAGCGATGGTATGAGCGGTATCCTCATCCTAGGCTCTTGCCCGATAGTCAGGCGGACGGCGAGGCTGTCCCTGTGCGCGCCAACATCGATTTTGTAAGTCGTTTACAAAATTTTATTTATTATACGTTCATTACATTTTTTTATGTTTTATAATTAAATGTGTGTATATATTTTATTTTCTTGTGCTTTGTGCAGTGGGTCGGACAGTGGGAGTCCATGGCATCAGATATGCATCAGGAGTTCGCGGCAGTTGCTCCTGAAAGGGCGGCATTTTTTGCAGAAAAAATTGCTCAATTGAAGTCGGATTTCGATAAAGCGCAGTAGTGATGTAATAAATATATATATTTCTTTATGTTTATTTTGTTATGGTTACTTTATATTACTTTATGTTTGTTTTGTAACAAATTATTAGTAGAATTATTTTATGTTTGTTTTGTTATGGTTAGTTAATTTTATTTCATCCAAACAAACAAACAAAAAAAAAAAAAAACCATTATATCACATGAAACAGTAAACACGTCGAGATATCACAATCTATCACTCGTAAACATAGTACGAACATATACTCATAATGCATGAAAATATGATGAATGTCAAATATCACAATCTATACTCCAGCTGCAGTACGAACATCATGCCACAACTGGAACCTGCTCTGGTAATGATCCGGCCAATGTGCAACCGAAATTGTTGACAATTTCTTTTTTATTTATTCAAATATAAGAAAATATGGGACATGCAATTTCAAATTTTATTTTGACCGATTAATTACTAAATCTTTTTATATTTATATAGATTTAAAAAGTAATGTAACATACATGTTGGTTTTGTACGTGGAATCTATACCGACGTACCAATAATATGTCTGGAATAGATTGGCTGCTCGTGGATGCGACATGAACACACGTGTCAATGCATGTGTGTTCGGGTCAACGTTTGTGTAAACTATGTAGTTGTTGTCGGTAGCCAAATGCAGAAGCTGGCCAGCAATATCTTGACCCCCCATACGGTCTTTTCGCAATCGAGCTTTATAGTTATAAACTTGTTGGCAAGTAGCGTTGTCCACAGGGTTTTTCTCCTGAATTACAGCCAAAATTACTGCCGGTCTTGCCTGAGCATCACTCATGTCACGGATAATCTCTTTGGATGAATCGCTGAGTCTGTTGATCTGTCGATGACCCTCGGGATACACAGTCAACGCATGATTATGAAATCCATTCTCGTCTTCTAAAGGAAGCCAGATACACCATTTTAACTCTTCCCTTTTCACATTTATCTGAAAAAGACAACCAGTATATTTCGTTTTCGAACGTCTCAAGACAGTATTCACTAAATTTCCTAGTTTTCCTGCCTTGCTCCTGTAACGTTCCCCTCGATCACACCTCAACGTCCGAACAGTTCCATCCTTATTGTGTCTCGAGATGACCAAATGTAAACCCCATATTGTTACAATGGCTTTTGCCCATTCAATAGCTTTTTCGGGAGTATCAAATAGTTCGTCTGTAGCGAAACAACATCGATAATCTTCACCGTCTCCTCCAAAATCTTCGAGTGGCACCTGCAATATGTTACGATGTATGTTAATATTTTTACAAAAATAATAAATTATAATTTATCTCAAAATAATAATAATAATTTGTAATTTATTATATAATAAATTCTAACTTCTAACGTAATATCAATAAATTTTATTTTATAAGATAATTAATTATTAATTAATATATATAACTTAATAATTTATACTAATATAATTTTAGTATAATTGTACTAATAATTATAGTACCTCCTATATTACTATAAATAATTTTTATTCATTATATATTAATTAATAATATAATTTATATATATATTTTTTTATTAAAATATTATTTTATATATTATTATGTTAACTTACAATACTTATACTAAAAAAAAGGGAAAAATAATTTATAATATATATTATATATATAAAAACCAAAAAAAAAAGCAATTAAAAATTTGAATATATATTATATTTTTAAAATATCTTTTAAATATTTTTAATTAAATAAAGAATTAATTGCGAAAAGGTTGCCTTATTAATTAAAATATTTTTAATATTTATTTTTAAAATTTATATAAAATATATATTATTATATTTATTTTTTTAAAATTTATATAACACCCTTTTCGATTTTTCTGGAAAAAAAAAAATCGCCGCGTCCGGATCGCGGCTTTGAGGGGGCCGCGCCGCGCTGGGATTGCGCCAGATGGGGCCGCGATCGCGGCCGTCTGCGTGTAGAACCGCCGCAATCGCGGCGCGCCACCTTCGAAAAGCGCCGCGATAGTGGCGCGGCCAGTAAAAAAAAAATTAAAAAATAATATTTTTCGTTTAAAATAAAAAAAACGTTTAAAATTAAAAAAAAAAAACTTACCCGTCCAGCCATTTTTTGCAAATTTTTTTCGAAATTTTTTTTATAAGTTTTTCTTATTTTTTTTATGTTGAATTTTGTTTTTTTAATGTGAGTGTGTGTGAGGTGCGAGATTGAGGGGGGAAGAGGGGGGTGTTCAGATTTTTTTTTTTAATTAATAAGGGTAAAATAGTCTTTTTTGGCTGCGGTAATAATCAAAATGGGGTGCGGTAAATATCAACACCCTTATGTTTTACCTACTATTATGTTTTATTTATTGCTCTCAAGTAATTATATATATATATATATATATATATATATATATATATTTGAAATAATTAAAGAGTAGTCCAATCAAATAATTTATATTACATTGTACATTTGCATATAGTCAAAATTTAAAATGTAAAACATCAATTATCTTTATAAAAATATAAATATTGTATACATACATACAATATATAAATTTTTATTTTTCGTGCATATGCACATGATGAATACTAGTCAAATTGATTTAGGTACTTGGTTAATTTCTGTTTCGAAACCACCATTCAATCAGAGTAAAATCGTCAATTAAACTTTTATATATAAAATAAAATGATTTTCCTTTTTTGAGCTACAATTTGTTATAAAAAAATAGAAACAACTTTCCATGAGGCTAGCTATTTTTTATTTTAAAAAAATGGAGTATTACATATGTAATTATGCTAACAAATTGGGATAATTTAATTTTATCAATTGAATAGGATTAATTTGCAGTTAAAAGAAAAACTATTTCCACTTATCATAATTAAAGAAAATTAATAATTAAATAAGTAAATAACAGTAACAAATACAAACAATAAAAACAAAACCATATTTTTTATTTTATATTAAAATAAAAATAAAAATAAAAATAAGAATTACAACACACACATACAGTCATGCATAATGCATGTCTTATCACAATTCCCATCAATTATTCACACCACCCTTCTCATCAAATCAGCCGCCGCCTCCACCCGCCGCCGCCCAGCGACGGCCTCGCCGCCGGAACCCTGCCGGAATTCTCCCTCAGGCCGACGATCAGATCCACGAACGCCCGCAGTATATACCTGTACGCCTTCTTATTGTTGAGATCCAAATAGCAGAACAAAAGCTCCTCCAAAAACTCCCAGTCCACGCGCCCGTTGTGCTCCGCGCGTGCGTCGACCATCTCCTGCATCGACCGCCGGAAATCCTCGTACGGACTCGGCGAGTACGTCAGCAGCGCAATAAAGTCGTCCGGAGCCGCTGCCGGAGAAGACCCGTCCGACGCCGACGAACCGCCGTTGGCCGCCGCCGACGAGGAGGAGGAGGAGTCGGCGGATGACGTGGACGATGGGGGATCGTCGACGATCAACGAGCTGGAGGATCCGGCGGCCACGAAGAACCTAGCCGAGCCGCAGAGATTCTCCGGCGGCGGCGGAATCTCGAGCAGGCGTGGAGATTCGAACAAAAACGGGGTCGTTTTGGGGGCCTCACCGGATTTTCTTCCGTCTGGATAGAGTGACCGAAAATTCTCGAAAAGGAACTGGTCGATGTCGGAAAGAGTGACGGCATCGCCATCGTTGTCCTTGGCCTCGCCGGCGGCGGTGGCGGCAAAAGACGAGGTTTTCGAGCGGCGGCAGCTACGAATTGGGAATTGGAGTTGTTTGTTGGATATTTTCATTTTAGAGAGGCACTCTTGGAGTGATCTTTGAATTTGCTTTGGCATTTTTTATTTTTTTTTTATGATAAAATGAAGATAAAATGGGAAAAAAGTAAGTGAAAGTAATATTTTGGGGTGGTTTGATGGGTGCACGGTGAATATATATATAGAGAAATTCAAAATTTTAAATGGAATTATAAAGGGTAAAGATGAAATTTGGGGAGACATTGAATTGGGAATTGATTAAATGGGACGTTTATTTTTTCAACCATAAATAAAGATAGGTGAGTAATCTTAATGACAATAATATTTACTACATATCTATTTGCAAAAAACTGTTGTCACTTATTTTATTTTAAACATATTCATTTATGCCATAAACTAGTACAGAGCCCGTGCGATGCACGTGATGCACAATTTTAAGGTCATTTATCAATTCTTATAATTATATAAATGAATAAAAAAAAATGTACGGGATATATATAGTACGTCGTGACCTGTAATAGGCCAAAATGTGAACACGGGTGATGCACGTGGTGCACAATTTTCTAGTATGTGTAATAAAAATACATACCGTAGCTCCTGAACACGGGTGCACAATTTGTAGTACGTACCATAAAATCAGAACAGATTTCCATACAATTAGATAATAAATTAGATAATATATATCCCGTACACTAATATTTTTTTAAAAAATTAATATTATTTATTATTTAAAAGATAATGATCACATCATTAAATGATTTTATTGATGGTTAGAGAATAAAATTATGTTAGTTATTATCTAACCATCAATAAAATCATTTAATGATGTGATCATTATCTTTTAAATAATAAATAATATTAATTTTTTAAAAAAATATTAGTGTTATATAATTAAATAAAAGTTAAAAAATATTACTCGACAAATATTAATTATAATGGATATCAGTAAAATCATTGTATAAATTATTTAAGGAAAAAATCTTTAAGATCATATTTGGATAGTAAATATAAATATGCAAGCATTTAATGCATATAGTAAAAAATTTCCAAATAAAGTATGCATTAAATGTGTGTTGACTTTTCTTGCTACTGTTATTGGTAAATAGGTTGGCTTTTAATATATATATAGATTGTAGTAATATTTTTTTATTTATGTTGTTTTTATTAGAATATTACATTTTAATTTAAAAGTATGTCATTATGTCGGTTAGACTTACGGTAGTCTTATTGTTTTCGAATTGATTATGATTTATTCAACATATTTATTCTATTCATAATAGTATTATTGTTATTATATTATATAGTTGTTTAAAGATATGTGTATCTGGTCTAGGGATTTTTAAATTAATGCTTTGTAATCTTGAAAGGTGAAATAGGTTATTGGGTTGATTGTAATTAGCTAGTTTGAAAATGATTTCAGCATAGTATAGTGTATTACACACTACTAAAAACACTCTTACATTCCAACGTAAATTTTCCGTTGGAATTTTTTATATTTTCTGTTGGAATAGCTATTCCAATGGATATTCCTACGTATAAAAATTCGTGGGAAAAACGGCCGTTAAAATAACTAAAATCCAATGGAAAAAAATTCCTGCAGCTATTCCAACGGAAAAAATCCGTTGGAATTCTTCAACCATCCAACACTTATTCCAACATAAAATTAAGTTTGTTGGAATATTTATTGGAATTTTCAACGATTTTTGCTGTTGTAATTTTTCGTTGGAATTGAAGTGTTTTCTTGCAGTGACATAATATTAAAGATTTTTTTTTTTTTATGAATTGTTCAGTCAAACTTGGGAGTGGATTACACATAAAAAAGGAATCATTCACTAAATGATATTGTTACAACAATTTGATTAGGGTAACAATATTTATATTAGTTTAATTCATATATGATGTTTGTTAAAAAGTAGTGCATTTTTGTTATTTATATTGTTTTACTATAATTTGATTCTATTGTTTGAGTTGGTCAACAAATTTCATTGGATTTTGCTACAAATTTATTGTTTTTCTTTTTTTTTTTTTTTTTTTT